TTCTTGAAGGCAATATCAAAACCAGTATTTTCTCTTTCTCTCTCTCTCTTTTTGTTAGAAAAGATCTCTGTCACCCAGGCTGGACTGCAGTAATCATGGCTAACTGCAGCCCCAATCTCCTGGGCTCCAGTGATCCTCCTGCCTCAGCCTTCCAAGTAGCTGGGGCTACAGGCACATGCCACCATGCCTGGCTAATTTCTTCCTGTATTTTTTGTTTTTGTAGAGACAGGGTTTGGCCATGTTGCTCAGCCTGGTCTTGAACACCTGGGATCAAATTCCATGTGGTTCAAGTGTAACCACCAGATGGGAAGAAAATACAGATAAGCTTGTTCAATAAGGGAAGGAAAAATTCAAAGGTTATTTCTATAGACACATCAACTTCTAAGTAAGGTAAGAGGGCTAGCTTATGCAATGGTTGTTTGGAGACAGCAACTGGCAAGAAGCTATGAAATGTGATTCTTCTACCCTGTTATTCATTTGCTCAGGAATCTGCAGTTGCTCCTTTTTAATTATGGTCAAATTTTTAGACTGGTGTTCAAGGTCTTTTTGTAGTGTATATATGTATATATATATATATATATATATATATATATGTATATATATATATATATGTGCACACTTTTTCTAGTGTTTTGTTTTCCTGTATCCAAAGAGGACTTCATTCCATTTCCTTAATATATAGGCTCAAAGTTGGTTCTTTTTCTCACGTGTCCAGTTCCTGAGCATCAACAGCTCTTTTTGAAATATCTATTCTGATTTTCATATCCTTCTCATTGCTTATGAACTCTACTTCAATAAACAGTTTAAAATCCACTAAGATGTGTAATAGGCTTGAAAAAAGTTGTTTGAAATAAAAGTACAATTACACATCCTGATTATTTCTTATAGTCCACATGGAGTCATAAGAATTTTATTTCAGCTTACTTCTTCCCTTTTATCTTAGTCAACTATTATGAACATATGCTAGAAAATGTGGATGGCCTTGAAGGGAGAATAGAGAGTTAAACACAATTATTTTCCTTAAAAATTCTCAGTACACTTGTGAAGATGACTCAGTAAACAGAAGATTGCCACACACTGTAGACAGGCCTACACTCAGGGAAGCTCAGCAAGCTGAGGCAATGCTTTGATGAACACACGGAAAGTCAGAGAAAGCTCCCCAGAAGGGATGAAGGTACTGTCCATCTACTCTGATCCTGCTGATCTTTCTTGACAGTAACTCTTTTGTTGCAGTGGAAAATGCCAGCAAAGCTTTTCCATAGGGTGCAGAGAGCTGTGCATCAGCAAAGCATTAGCACAGGCCAAGCACTGCAGAGACATCTTAATCACTGTAACAGCTCTTTGGGTAGAGAATATCATTATACTCATTTTACCCAGGAGAAAATAGAGGGTAGGTTAGATTAACTGACTTTGCTGGGGACACACAGCTTGTGAGCGTGAGCCCTGTCTGTCTGGCTCCCAATGCTGTACTCTTGCCTACTAAAGGCAAAATAAAACCAACAAATCCCAAACTTCTGCTTACAATAAAAGTGCTGTAAAAATTGGCCCCCAATAATCATTCTTTAAAAAACACACACAGTAGTGTAATAGTGATAATGATAAGAATAATAGCATTATTTCCTAACCAGCTGGCTACCTGCTTGTAATCTTGATGGAAAGCCTCATATTTACCCCATTAATACAGCTTATGAAGAGCTCAGAAATATGAAGTAGGCTTGTCTAAGTCAGGAAACCTGCCCAGGAGCAGAGCTGTGTGGAGGTCTTTGATCCCTGGCTTGGTGTTCATTTCTCTACATAGTGGGATCTCTGGGTTTAGAAATTAATACTCTAAGTGTTCTTTTTTTAAATGTACATAAATTTATGGGGTACAAGTGCAGTTTTGTTACATGAATATATTGCAGAGTGGCGAAGTCTGGGATTTTGGTGTAACCATATAAACATAAACCAACCTGGGTTTATGTTTAATGTACCCATTAAATAATTTCTCATCCCTCACCCACCTCCCAACCTCCTACCCTTTCAAGTCTCCATTCTATTATTCCATGCTCTCAGTTCATGTGTACACCTTATTCGATTTCTACTTGTAAGTGAGAACATGTGTTATTTGACTTTTGCTGCAACATGGATGAAACTGGAAACCATTATCTTAAGTGAAATGACTCAGAAACAAAGTCAAATACCACATGCTCTAATTACTCTTTATCACTATTTTCATATGCTCTGTACAACAGCGCTGTATACAATTGTGTAGTGAACGGAGACAGATTAACATAATTAAACATTGCTCCTTTCCTTACCTGGCTTGCTGGGAACATTATTGGGAAAGAAGCTGGTTTAATACACAGACACATTTTCTAGAATGCTTGAAGAGAAAATGTGGATAATGTAAGAGGACTTTTTAAAAACATAAACCTCGGTTGGAATACAAGAAATGATTAATAACCTAGGAAATGGAAATGTCAAGTTTATCATCTAAATATTAGTCAGCAGACTTCAATTTGTTTTGGAAAAGGCTCAACAGTCATGCATAAAGCAGAAGAAAGACACCTCTGACACTAAAATTCCCCTCTAAATATCAAGATCTATTCAAACAAGACATTCAGAAGCAAAGGCAGGCTAATTAATACTCCATGACATAAGTAGCATTTGCTTATTTTAATTACTAGGAACTTCAGTTAAGTCTCTTCCATTGTAAAATGGAAAAAAACGAAACAACAAGGACAAAAAAAACCGCAAGCCTGTTTCTCAGGTAATGATTTGTGGTTGATGTTCTTAGAAGTCCTAGTACCTGGCAATGACTCAGTGCTCAGGTATAGGTTGGCAAGGGGAGGGGAGAGGGTCTGGCATGACACCTACGCGTATGGGAGGAGCACGTATGGTCTAAGCAAACTCTAATACTAAAACAAAATCCTGAAATCCAACTTCCATTCTGCTCTGCTTAAAACCTGTCATTCTGTTGCTTTTGTTTTCAGAGAAGTGTTTGGACTTCTTATGTTACCTCCTAGGTCATTTATGATAGGTGCTTTTTTTTTTTCTTTTTCCACTTCAGACACATCTATTACTACTCTTATCTTATGCCTCTTTGTGCTTCACCTATGTGAAATTTTCTGGGTTCTCAGGATGCTTAATGCTCTGACTTGACTTTAGGCTTTTGCTCATGCAGATTCTGCCTGAAATTATATCTTTCTTTGCTTGGAAACTATTTAGGGCTGGCTCTTACATCACCTGCCTGGGAAACCTTCTCTAACACCCTTACTCCCATTTCTGCCTCAACCACCTGTCACATGTGGGATGTGTCAGTGGCCTCCCCTCCAAGCAGCCAAAGTATTCTGTTTAGCTGTTATCTGTACCTGAAAGAAGGACCCTCTCTGGAAAAACAGCACCCTTCTCTTTTCAAGAATTACAGATGGAGTCTCACGTAGCCTTTCTTCTGTATCTGTGGACCTCAAAAAGACAATCTATCAGAGAAGTGACTTGGACCAAAGAGTAAAACAAACAAAATTAAAATAACTTAAAATGTTCTACTGGCCTGTTGGTAGCTAAGGTTTGGCCAATAGGAGTAGATGATTCTGTACTGTACCTTGCTTCTCAGATATCACCAATGATACAGGACAGAGTCTGTAGGGAAATGGCCATTGCTCTTCTAATATTGGAAGATGATATGACCAATATGAGCAATAACAACTGTAAAAGTATTCCTGCTGCCAAAAAAGTGCCTTCTTTTACTTAGGATGGATTCAGATTACATTGTGTTTGAAAATTGATGCTTGTCCGTGGCAGGTGTGTCTGTTTGTGTATTTTCTTGATCTAATACATATTTATTTGGTGATTAAGAAGAATGAGGGGGTATCTTAGTTGGTTTGAGTTGCAATAAAAATACCATAGTCTGGGTAGTTTATAAAAAACAGAAATTTACTTTGCACAGTTCTGGAGACTGGGAAATCCAAGATTAAGATGCCAATCAATGTTATTCCTGGTGAGGGCTTGATTCCTGGCTTACAGAAAGCCAATTTCCTGTTGTGTCCTCACATGATGGAAAAACTAAGGATCTTCCTTAGATATCTTTTATAATAGAACTAATCTCATTCATGAGGATTTGATCCTCATGATCTAATCCTTTCTCCTAATATCATTACCTTGGGGGATAGGATTTCAAAATATGACTCTTAGGAGAACAAAAGAAAATATTCAAACTGTATCTGGAGCATTACAGCACCTCACTTGAAGAGAATTTGAAGGGGCTGAACTGTTTTGATAAATGTGTAGGGCCAGAATTGATATTAAAATATTTTTCTGAAATATTGGACTGAAAGACTTAGACTCTGAAAAATATACTTTGCCTCTGTGTCCTAGAGTGCAAATAGGTGAGGCACTGTCAGGGCACAGATTTCTGGTCCAGGCCAGCCCTGTGGATAGGAGTTAGGCTTTGAAGAAGGTGGTATTCTAAGTGGGGTGGGGCACTATGGATTGGTAAGTTATCTGGGAAATCTGAACAATCAATGTCTCTAAACATTTTCTTTTGTATGATTAGGAGATTCATTCACTTATTGAGCCACTGCCCTTTGGAAGACATTGCATTAAGTGTTGAGAAAAAGGGTAGATAAGGCAGTAAGATGCTTTTCTGAATGGGATTTAGAAAGTTGGTTCAGCAAGGCACACAATAAAAACAAATGCAAAGAAATAAACATGATAATTTCGGGTCATGACAATAGCTATGCACAAAATAAAAGTGAGTATTTTGTTACCACCTCATGGCATGGGAGACTGGGATAAATTGGATAGTCAGTGAAGTGGGGGCTTTGAGATGAGACGTGACATAAGGGTGCCAGCCAAGTGAAGATCTTGAGGGGGTAAATTTCAGATAGGAAAAAAATAGCAAATGCATAGACCCAAAAGTATGGAACCAAGCTCAACATCTTTTTTTTCTTTTTCTTTTTCTTTTTTTTTTTTTAAATTTAACTTCTGGGATGTATATGCAGAATGTGCAGGTTTGTTACATATGTAGAGATGTGTCATGGTGCTTTGTTGCACCCATCAACCCGTCATCTACATTAGATATTTGCCTTAATGCTATCCGTCCCCTTACTCCCCAGCCCCCTAGAGGCCCCAGCGTGTGATGTTCCCTTCTTCTGCCCATATGTTATTATTGCTCAGCTCCCACTTATGAGTGAGAACATGTGGTGTTTGGTTTTTGGTTCCTGTGTTAATTTGCTAAGAATGACCATTTTCAGCTTCATCCATGTCCCTGTAAAAAACATGAACTTATTCTTTTTTATGGCTGCATAGTATTCCATTTCTTTATCCAGTCTAACATTCATGGCCATTTGGGTTGGTTCCAAGTCTTTGCTATTGTGAATAGTGCTTCAGTAAACATACATGTGCATGTATCTTTATAGCAGAATGATTTATAATCCTTTAGGTATATATCCAGTAATGAGATTGGTAGGTCAAATGGTATTTCTAGTTCTAGATCCTTGAGGAATCTCCATGCTTTCTTCCACAATGGTTGAACTAATTTACACTCCCACCAACAGTGTAAAAGTGTTCCAATTTCTCTACATCATCTCAAGTATCTGTTATTTCGACATTTTGATGATCTCCATTCTAACTGGCATGAAATGGTATCTCATTGTGGTTTTGATTTGCATTTCTTTAGTGACCAGTGATGATGAGCTTTTTTTCATGTTTGTTGACCACGTAAATGTCTTCTTTTGAAAAGTGTCTATAAATATCCTTCACCCACTTTTTGTTGGGGTTGTTGTTTCTTCTTGTAAATTTGTTTAAGTTCCTTGTAAATTCTGGATATTAGCCTTTCGTCAGATTGATAGATTGCAAAAATTTTCTCATTCTGTAGGTTGCCTGTTCACTCTGACAATAGTTTCTTTTACTGTGCAGAAGCTCTTTAGTTTAATTAGATCCCATTTGTCAGCTTTGGTGTTTTAGTCATGGAGTCTCCCCATGCCTATGTCCTGAATGGTATTGCCTAGGTTTTCTTCTAGGTTTTTTTTTTTTTAATGTTTTTTTTCAGGTCTTATGTTTAAATATTTAATCCATCTTGACTTAATTTTTGTGTAAGGTGTAATGAAGGGGTCCAGTTTCAGTTTTCTGCATATGGCTAGCCAGTTTTCCCAGCGCCATTTATTAAATAGGGTATCCTTTCTCCATTGCTTGTTTTTGTCAGGTTTGTCAGAGATCAGATGGTTGTAGATGTGTAGTGTTATATCTGAAGTCTCTGTTCTGTTCCATTGATCTATATATCTATTTTGGTATCAGTACAATGCTGTTTTGGTTATGGTAGCCTTGTAGTATAGTTTGAAGTCAGATAGTGTGACGCCTCCAGCTTTGTTATTTTTGCTTAGGGTTGTGTTGGGTATACAGGCTCTTTTTTTGTTTCATATGAAATTAAAGTCATTTTTTTCTAATTCTGAGAAGACAGTCAATGGTAGCTTAATAGGGATAGCATTGAATCTATAAATTACTTTGGACTGTATGGCCATTTTGATGATACTGATTATTCCTATCCATAAGCATGGAATGTTTTCCACTGGTTTGTGTCCTCTCTTATTTCCTTGAGCAGTGATTTGCAGTCCTTCTTGAAGAAGTCCTTCACATCTCTTGTATGTTGTATTCCTAGGTATTTTATTCTCTGTAGGAATTGTGAATGGGAGTTCACTCATGATTTCGCTCTCTATTATTGGCGTAAAAGAATTCATGTGATGTTTGCACACTGATTTTGTATGCTGAGACTTTGCTGAAGTTGCTAATCAGCTTAAGGAATTTTTGGGCTGAGACAATGGGGTTTTCTAAATATTCAATTATGTCATCTGCAAACAGAGATAATTTGACTTCCTGTCTTCCTATTTGAATACCCTTTATTTTTTTCTCTTGCTGGATTGCTCTGGCCAGAACTTCCAATACTATGTTGAAAAGGAGTGGAAAGAGGGGGCATCCTTGTCTTGTGCCAGTTTCAAAGGGAATGCTTCCAGCTTTTGCCCATTCGGTATGATATTGGCTGTGGGTTTGTCATAAGTATCTCTTATTATTTTGAGATATATGTCATCAATAACTAGTTTGTTGAGTGTTTTTAGCATGAAGGGGTGTTGAATTTTATCAAAGGTCTTTTCTGCATATATTGAGATAATCATGTGTTTTTTTGTCATTGGTTCTGTTTCTGTGATAGATTACGTTTATTGATTTGTGTATGTTGATCCAGCCTTACATCCCAGGGTTGAAGCTGACTTGATTGTGGTGGATAAGCTTTTTGATGTGCTGCTAGATTCAGTTTGCCAGCATTTTATTGAAGATTTTTGAATTGATGCCCATCAGGGATATTGACCTGAAACATTTTGCTGTTGTTGTTTCTCTGCCAGGTTTTGGAATCAGGATGATGCTGGCCTCATGAAATCAGTTAGGGAAGAGACCCTCTTTCTCTATTGTTTGGAATTTGAGAAGAAATGGTACCAGCTCCTCTTTGTACCTCTGGTAGAATTAGGCTGTGAATCTGTTTGGTTCTGGGGTTTTTTTGGTTGGTAGGCTATTAATTACTGCCTTAATTTTAGTACTTGTTATTGGTCTATTCAGATATTCAACTTCTTCCTGGTTTAGTCTTGGGAGGTATATGCATCCAGGAATTTATCCTTTTCTTCTAGATTTTCTAGTTTATTTGTGTAGAGTGTTTATAGTATTCTCTGATGGTAGTTTGTATTTCTGTGGCATCAGTGGTGATCTCCCCTTTTTTAAAATTCTACTTGATTCTTCTCTCTTTTCTTCTTTATTAGTCTGGCTAGCAGTCTATCTATTTTGTTAATCTTTTTGAAAAACCAGCTCCTGGATTCATTTGTTTTTAGAAGGGTTTTTCATGTCTCTATCACATTTATTTCTTCTCTGATCCTAGTTATTTCTTGTCTTCTGCTAGCTTTTGAATTTTTTTGTTCTTGCTTCTCTAGTTCTTTTAATTGTGATGTTAAGGTATCAATTTTAGATCTTTCACTTTCAGGTACACCAATCAAACATAGGCTTGGTCTTTTCAAATAGTACCATATTTCTTGGAGGCTTTGTTTGTTCCTTTTTATTCTTTGTTCTCTAATCTTGTCTGCATGCTTTATTTCATTAAGTTGACCTTCAATCTCTGATATCCTTTCTTCCACTTGATCAATTTGGCTATTGACACTTGTTTATGCTTCACAACGTTCTCGTGCTGTGTTTTTCAGCTCCATCAAGTCAGTTATGTTCTTCTCTTAACTGGCTATTCTAGTTAGCAATCCCTCTAACCTTTTATCAAGGTTCTTAGCTTCCTTGCTTTGGTTTAAAACATGCTCCTTTACCTTGGAGGAGTTTGTTATTACCCACTTCCTGAAACCCACTTCTGTCATTTCCTCAACTCATTCTCTGTCCAGTTTTGTTTCCTGGCTGGTGAGGAGTTACCATCCTTTGGAGGAGAAGAGACATTCTGGTTTTGACAATTTTCAGCCTTTTTACTTTGTTTTTTCCTCATCTTTATGGATTTATCTACCTTTGGTCTTTGTTATTGGTGACCTTTGTTAGAGTTTTTGTGTGGTCATCCTTTTCATTCATTTTAATGCTATTGCTTTCTGTTTCTTAGTTTTCCTTCTTACAGTCAGGCCCCTCTTCTGCAGGTATGCTGGAGTTTGCTGGGCATCCACTCCAGAACCTGTTTGCCTGGGTTTCACCAGTAGAGGCTGAAGTACTGCAAATATTGCTGCCTGTTTCTTCGTCTGGAAGTTGTGCTCCAGAAGGGCACCCACCAAATGCCAGCTGGAGCTCTCCTGTATGAGGTGTGTCAACACCTGCTGGGGGGTGTCTCCCAGTCAGAAGGCATGGGGGTCAGGGACCCACTTGAGCAGGCAGTCTGTCCCTTAGCAGAGCTTGAGTGCTGTGTAGGGAGATCTGCTGCTCTTTGCAGAGCCGGCAGGCAGGAACATGTAAGTCTGCTGAAGCTGTCTGCTCCGCTGTCCGTTCCCCCAGGTGCTCTGTCCCAGGCAGATGAGAGTTTTATCTATAAGCCCCTGACTCGGGCTGCTGCCTTTCTTTCAGAGATGCCCTGCCCAGAAAGGAGGACTCTAGAGAGAGAGTCTGGCTATAGCTGTTTTGCAGTGCTGTGGTGGGCTTCATCCAGTCCGAACTTCCAGGTGGCTTTATTTACACTGTGAGGGGAAAACTGCCTACTCAAGCCTCTGTTATGGCAGACACCCTTCACCCCTACCAAGTTCAAGCATCCCAGGTCTACTTCTGACTGCTGTGCTGGCAGCAGGAATTTCAAGCCAGTGGATCTTAGCTTGCCAGGCTCCATGGGGGTGGGATCTACTGAGCAAGACCAGTTGGCTCCCTGGCTTCAGCCCCCCTTTCAGGGGAGTGAATGGTTCTCTCTTGCTGGTGTTCCAGGTGGCACTGAGGCATGAGAAAAACAACAACAACAACAAACAGAAAAACTCCTGCAGCTAGTTTGATGTCTGCCCAAATGGCCACCTAGATTTGTACTTGAAACCCAGGGCCCTTGCGGTATAGGCACCCGAGGCAATCTCCTTGTCTGTGGGTTGTAAAGACCATGGGAAAAGCATAGTATTTGGGTTGGATAGCACTGTCCTTCACAGCACAGTCCCTCACAGCTTCCCTTGGCTAGGAGAGGGATTTCCTTGACCCCTTGCACTTTCCAGGTGGGGCGACGGCCCACCCTGCTTCTGCATACCTTCCATGGGCTGCATCCAATGTCTAACCACTCCCAATGAGATGAACCATGTACCTCAGTTTGAAATGCAAAAATTCCCCTCCTTCTGCATTGGTCTTGTTGGGAACTGCAGACTGGAGCTGTTCCTCCAAGCTGAACCATTTTAGGGCACAGAAAGAGGGTCATGTTGTTTGGATCCAGAGAGTAAAGGGAAGAGAAGTGAGAGAGACATGGGAAAAGACCAGCAGGAGCCAGGCCTTAAAGACTATTGTGAAGATTCTGGATTTTAAGTGTTACAGAAATATTGGAGGCCTCGTGTAATACAGAATGTGATCTAATTTATAAGTTTAAAATTTGTTCTGGTTATTGAGGGGAAATTAACTTTGGGGTGGGGGAAAAGTAGAGTTTGAGAAATCAGGAAACTATTGGCTTAGTCAAATTATAAATAATCATGAGTTGTTGGGATTAGGGGGATTTCACTGGAAAGGGGAAGAAATGATTGGATCAGAGATGTTTTGGAGGTGGACATGGCAGGATTTGTTATTTTTAGTGCATGGATTTGCACTCTGACCTCACAATGCTTGCCACCCTCAGTGGCATGAGATACGTGTTGCCACCTTGCGAGGTGGTGTCATAAAGAATGCAGTAGTGAGGCAAAAGAGGAAAGTCTACCCTGTCCCTTATTCACCCCACTGCCCAGGCCCATCCAGCAGTGTAGTAATAGGATCCAAAACAGTAAAGGCCCTAGAATTTAAGATGTAACCAGCAGCAGAGAGAGGGTTGGGAAAGAGATATCAAAGTGCAGAAACAGGTGAGGCACGGTGACTCACACCTGTAATTCCAGCACTTTGGGAGGCTGAGGTGGGCAGATCACTTGAGGTCTGGAGTTTGAGACCAGCCTGGACAACATGGTGAAACTTCGTCTCTACTAAAAATACAAAAATTAGCTGGGTGTGATGGTGCCTGCCTGTAATCTTAGCTACTTGGGAGGCTGAGACAGGATAATCCTTTCAACCTGGGTAGAGGAAGTTACAGTGAGCCGAGATTGCGCCACTGCACTCCAACCTGGGCAACAGAGCAAGACTCTACCTCAAAAAACAAACAAACAAACAAACAAAAATCCCAAAACCAAACAACAACAACAAAAAATAAAGTGCAGAAGCAATTGCCAAGGACATCCCTTGAGGAAAGACATGACAAACTGTCTCTTTATCGGGTATTATGAGGAAGGTCACGCTTTCAGGGTTAGATGGACAGTAGGATGAGATGGAAAAAACCTGTGCATTGCACTTTCCACTGAATTGTCATTGTTTATTTGTCAAGTCCTTCACTAAAATATAATCACAGAGAAGGGTGGAGCTAAGTCATATTCACTTTTATATCCTAGTGCATGGTTCAGCTTCGGGCACCTAGTGTCCAGTAAATGCTTATTGAATGAATGGTGAAAATCTTTATTGAGAAGGTATTGGTTTGAAGACTTAGGCTTTTTCTGACTTTTTAAGCAAGTGTGGCAGGGACACAAATTAGCATCAAGAATCCTGCCTTTTTTTTTTCTACTTTTATGTTTTGGTAATCATGTTTTGCCACTCCATGTCTATCACTATGAAATGGCTGAACCTTCTCCAACAGAGGCCTTTTTTTTTGCCTGTGGCCTTGCATGACACAATTTGCATCAGCCAGTGGGAAGGCATATACATTGGTACAAAATGTGAATATGCCCATTAACAGTCTCCCAAATAATCTGGACAGCCCTAGGAATCAGCTTAGATGCTCAGCCTGGCCCCTGGTCAGCACATTCTACGAGCTCGTGGAAAAGGGCAAGCACAGACTATTTACAACCACAGAGAAATGGCCTCATAAAAATGCATAAGGGTGTGTGCACAGTGATGACTGGGATGAAAAAAGCAGTGTTTACATACTGTTACACTAAAATATTCACACCTCATCAAATTGTCAGTCTTGTTTGCTGGCAACAATGGGAATTTTCCCACTGTAAGACAGTAATAGCTCTCAGCGGAGCACGGCGCATTATGTCTCATTAATTCTTCCCAGATCCCAGTGAGGTGGGTGGTGAGGGTTCCTATTCCCGTTGTTTCAGAAAAGAATAGAATGAGATTTATTTCCCTGCTCTCTGCTCACACTGCTTCATAGAATGATGGAGGATATTTGCCAACTCATTTCTGAAGCCTGATTCACTGTGGCCCTTGGGGATTGGTCCTTCAAAATGACATCTAGTGTACTGCCCTTGTGCTGATGAGAACACCAAGCTCCAGAGGAGGGAGTCATTCATAAAGGCCTCTCAGCTACTCTGGAAAATCCAAGTTCAACTCACTAATTTTCTACCTAGAGAAAGGTAGGAAGAGTAAGAGCACAAACCTGTGCAAACACCTATTGGATGTCAAGAATTTTGTAATTAATACCTTCATGGATTCACCGTAACAGTCTTGTAAGATTGATTTTCTTATTATTAATTATTATAAGCTTCCAAATAAAAATTATAAAGATCAAGCATCAGCTTTTCAGGATTCAAACTGAAGTTTATTTGACATCAAAGCTGATATACATGGGAAAGGGTCACACACGCTTTATGCCGTACACACTGGAAAGACCGACACATAGCAGAAGCTCAAAGATGTTTCTTGATTTGGTCTTGCTGAGGAAAGACCATTTTGGAGACAGACATACCTAGATTCAAGTGCAGATCTCTTCCTTACCAGATGGGCATTGTTGGGTAAGTCAGGAATGATGCCTGAGCTCCATTTCTCTCATCTATAAAAGAAATAAAATATGCCATGGCAGGATGGATGTGAAAATGAAATGAGAGAGTCTAGAGGAAGTGACTATCATGCATAAGCACTGCTCCATGCCTGCTGGTTCCCTCTGTTCCTCCCCACAATGGCAGTCTTGTATGTTTTTAAATAATCTTCTTAGAAAACAACCCCACCTATTTCTGTTTTTTTGTTTTTGCTTTTGTTTTTTTCTTTTTCTTTTTTGGCTTCTCCACCTGGAGTTGACTTATTTACAGTGGCCAAGATGGTTAGCATCCTTCCTATTGATTTTCACTAATTATCAACAACTTGCAGAGGTGATCTTCTCAGGCCTCATCTCTGGAGGTCATTGAGTGAGATTATTTAAGCTTCCTGGCAATAGAAACTATGCTCCCAATCCATTGACCACTGACCATGTACTAAGCATTTAAATGTTGCATGAAACACTGAAAGCTGAAGTTTGGTGAGCTCAAGGGCGCCAATAGGGGCCTCTTCAATACCTATGAAACCTTCATAATTTACTTAATCTCTCATATAGTCTTCTCATCTATATGATGGATATAAAGGTAAACAGGTTTGAGAAGACTAAAAGAAATTATTTGTAAAAAGTGATTACTCAGTTTCATCTACATAACGATGGTTTGGTAATTATTAGTTATTAATAGCATTAGCAAAATACTTAGTAAAGGGAAATTCATAAGTTAATGTTTTCTAATGTAAGGCAGTATTGAAATTAATTTATTCACTCTCCAGTATGTCTTAAAAATTTTTATATTAAACAGTAAAAATCATGTTAATTACAATTATGTAGTAAATATATATTACCTAATATTAGTTATAAAAATGCATACATTATATAACATAACAGCAAAGTAAACCATCAACTCACCATCCTGTGAAAACCACCATATGAAAGCATTCATCCCATACCCTTACTTCTCCTTTCAGAGGCAACCACAACACTGAATTTTGTGTTGAGCCTTTCCTTGCCTTTCTTTATAGCTACACCATTTATGTTTGCATTTATTAACAATAAATTTTGGGGGGTTTCTCATGCTTATGACATTTATATTCATGTAATCACATTGCTATCGGTGTTTTGCTATTTGCTTTGTTTCCTCAATGTTGTATTCTGAAATGTATCGATGCCGTTCACATAGCTGTAACAAATTCTTCCAGTACTATACTAGAAAATGGATATGGAGGAATTCATTTATCCATTTCACTCTTAATAGGCATTTTAGTTGTTTCCTTTAAATTTATTTTCCTGTTAATACAAGCGCTTTTAGCAACGTTAAATAAATTCATGGTATAAATGGGCAAAATTTTCTGCAGCATAGGTATCAGGGAATGAAACTGATTGGTTGCAGGATTTGAATATTTCCAACCTTACCAGATAATGCCATTGTCTTGTTATACAAAGTATCTATGCCCATTTACAATCCCACTTGCTGTCTATCATGGTAATGTCCACTTCACATCCATGTCAACACTTGTTATTTTTAG